TGTTCTGCTCTCTTCTGGAAGTGTTCTCTCTCCTCTTCTCTATCTCTGTTCTGTTTCTCTCTCTCTTGCTCGCCGTGACCCCCCTCGTCTCTGCCCAACACTACGGCGGCGCAATAAATGGCTCCGGCAACACCACAGTCTACGCCTTCAGAGAGTGCTTGAAAGACCTTTCTCGCTCCAATTGCGATCTCTATTTCGCTCAAATCAAAACCCAGATCCTTTGTTGCCTCCCTTTTCCAACGTCTGATTCGCGATGGTTGATTGTTCTACGATGAGTGTTATTTGAGGTACGACGATTACATGTTTTTTTTTTTGTGTTGCTTAACAATGGTGCATTCGCTGTTGGGTTTGGCTCAGTGTTGTATTTTTTTTTGGTGTTGTTTAATATGGTGTTCTCCCATCTCTTCTGTGTGGTGTTCTCCCATCTCTTCTTCTCTCACTACAAGAAATTACATTTTTCGCAACGCAACAAAATATGTTGCTAAAAGGGAAAATTCGTTAGCAAAGAGTTTTGCTGACACACAAGGCTACGTTGGCAACCCGTAGGCAAAAGTGAGTCGGCAAAAGTTTTTGCCGACGAAATTATTATTGCATTGGTAAAAGTAATGCCTTTAGCGACGAACACAGTCGTCGATAAAAGCCTTCATCCATCGTCGGCAATTTACCTTGCTGTGTGTGTGTGTGTGTGTGTTGTTTTGTTCTGTGTTGTTCACCATCATCCTTCTCTCTTTCTTTCTCTCTCTCTCTCTCTCCCTCTTGCCACTATTTCATTGAGAAAAAAGAAAAAAGAAAAAAAAAAGGGTGGTAGGAAGGGGAAGAGGGGGGCCAAAACGAGCCAGTCTATTTTAGAACAGAGTTGTTTAATTTTTGGAAAAATTATTTATAAGTCCAATTAGGAAGACTTATGCTACATATGGTCCTATTAAAAAATTTACCCTCAATATTAGTTGTTAATATCATAAATAATAGGAAAATCATATATAGAAAATTGAATGTTACCATAGATTATATCTATAATAACGTAACGTGACACCTACATAAATGTAACGTGATACCTACACAAACGTAACGTGACACCTATACGTAACGTGATACCTATATAAACGTAACGTGACACTTATACGTAACGTGATACCTACATAAACGTAACGTGTAACGTGACACCTACATAAACGTAACGTGACACCCATGTTACCATAGATCATATCTACATAAACGTAACGTGACACCTATGATCTATGACAACATTCAATTTCCTAATGTTGTCATAAATCATAGGTGTCACGTTACGTTTATGTTGGTGTCACGTTACGTTACGTTATATAGGAAATTGAATGTTGCCATATATCATATTTATATGAAACGTAACGTGACACCAACATAAACCAGCAACATTTTCACATTCAATTTTAAAAAATAAAAACTTATTAAGTTTACGAAACGTAACGTGACACGTTACGCTCCGTTTATTTAGGTGTCACGTTACGATACGTTTATATAGGTGTCACGTTACGTTACGTTTATGTAAGTGTCACGTCACGTTACGTTTATGTAGAATCTTGTGGAATACATTCCTATCTAAATAGGACTTGAGATTCTATAAGAAATTACACAGAACTTTGCTTACTATATGTGTCTGAAAAAGGACTTATAAATAAGTCTCCCTTAATTTTTTTATCATTTTTGGTTTTAAATTTTATAAACAAAAAATTATGTCCTTCTAAATTACCAGGACTTAAAAAATAAATTTTTTAATACAAATATATTTTTTTAACAAAATACAAAAATATTTAGAAAATGAATGACTTTTTTAACAATTGCCAAACATAATGGATTCTATTATTATTATTATTATTATTATTATTATTATTATTATTATTATTATTATTATTATTATTTTATCTCAATTGTCAATTAAACAAATTAAAATAAAAAAATAAATATATACTATGTGAGTGTTTGGGAAGTGAGTTTTTTTTATAGGTTTTTTTAATTGTAGGATATTATTGGAGAAATTTTTTTTTATGTTTGGGAAGATAGTTGGGTTTTTTGTGGTTGGATATGATGTTTGTGAGATAAAAAGTAAAATGATTATGAAGTTTGATGTGATATTTTGTTTGGATTGATTTTTTTTGGTTTTGTAATCAATTTGTCTTTTAGTGAAAAAAAAAAAACAATAAAAAACCAAAAACCAAACTTCCCAAACACCCCTTTATGTATACATTATACAGTTACCTATATTTATTTATGGTAAAAAAAAATTGCAGTTATGATTTAATTAAATGGGATTATGGAAACGATGATGTTCCTAATTTGGCCGCCATTATTTTATTTATTTATTTATTTATTAATGCATGCATTACAGTACCAACTTGGCGAATAAAATGCTAGGAAGCCATTTTAGACACACACAGAGAGAGAGAGAGTGTTTGGATTTGGTTTTTGTTTTATTTTACTGGGTGTCTTCCTGTTGAATCCTTTCAACATTTGTATTGATCCTTGTTGTGGGTATTGTTGATTAGGTAGTTTTCATGTTGTATTGTTCTGGGATTGAGGAGATCAAGGTATGCACTCCAAATACTTGTGATATTGTTGCTCATTTTTTTTTACCTTATTGTAAATTTATAAAATACCACAAAATGTTGATATTTATTCATCCTCTGTGCTTACAGATTAAGATTGGTTAGGTGATTAAGATCCGATTCACATTTTCCTCCTCTTTTGAATCAGTGTTTCTCTGATTTGGAGGCCATTGAAGTTGGAGCTGATTCACATTTTCCTCCTCTTTTGAACCAGTCCTATTTTTGTTCATTGCTGGAGTCATGGCGACAATGCTGCATTCTGAGTCCAGGCCCTCGTATTCTTGGTGGTGGGACAGTCACAATAGCCCAAAGAATTCAAAATGGCTTCAGGAAAGGTGTTTGTTTTGTCACTTAATTTTTGTTGGTTTCTGGTTTTAAGTATTGACGTCTTTTGCTTGCAATTGATATTTCTGTGTTTGTCCTTTTCTTTTCTTTATGTTGTTTATTATTTTAAAGAATCATGAAATTATAAGATAGTAGAAAGCAGAGGCAGACCTTCATATTATCAAGTTAGGGAACTTACTCCTAGGTCTTTGGTCCGGTAATTACTGATATATGTGGGACAAGAGGACTACATGTACTTGGGGGATTAGTTGGGGAGAAGCCCCGGACACCCTTGTGAGCAAAAAAAAAAAGGATGGGACTTGCCAAAAAAAAAATATATATATATATAGAAAAAGAAAGCCCTAGTATGGAATTTCTTGATAGTTATTATCTGGATTTCCATTCCTTCCATTAGATATGGAACCATTTTTGTTGTGTTAAATAATAATATAATACATAAATAACGGCTAACACTTTTTGACATTGGCTTTGGGTTGAACTTCATACAGCAATAGAGAGAGAGTTAGTTCAGAAACATATGTTGAAGTTAAGACTTTCGGAGGATTTTAGAAAATGATGAAATTTGATGCTATAGTTTTTCCAATCCAAATGTTGTTCATGATTTTTGGTTAATATAATATTCATAATTTGTACAATTAAAATATATAATTTTAAGTAAACTAAAATTGTTTATAAAATTGTTGTTCATATTAAATGAGAAAGGTAAAATTGGGATAAAATTCACCATTATGGAGAATTGAACTTTTGGGCAACATTTTATAAAAAATAGGACTTATTTGTCCAAAATAAAATTTGATAGGACTCAATAGTAATCTTGAGAGCAAAATAGGACTTATTGATAATTTTTCCAAGAAAAAATTTGATTCGTGGGGTTGCATTTATTGAATCAAAATAGCCCTAGCAAGTAAGGATACCATTGTGCCAACTACTCAACTTTGAGTAGAGTTGATTAAACTCTATTAGCATACAAGTAATATACGATGTAGGTTTGCAATTGAATCTCGTGATCTTAAGTGTGAGTGAACTTTGTTAGGGTTCCTTGACCTAGAAGGTAATACCTAAGTTGCATACTTGGAGGTGATATTTCTCTTCTAGAACCACGATTATGTGGTTCAAACCAAGAATCGAGTTTTAGAAACATGTTTATGCGGAGTAACTCATAATACAGTTTAAACCAAGGCATTGGGATTACTGTTTTGGTTTCAAATTTTAACCTTTTTCCCATGCAAATATGATTCGTGATAGTGCTTCCTTCCTCAATTCTTAGTTTCCATTTATTCCTAGATAGGGATGTATCTCATTTTCAAGCTGAGAAAGAGCTGACAATGCTAGTGTCAAGTTGAAGTCGTATTCGCTACTTTTTCTATTTTTCAAGTTTTTCGGTATGGCTTCCATGCTATAGGTTCCCACCTAAGGTTTTGCAACCTATATGGAATTCTTGATTTTCTTTTGATAAATTATTCTGGCCTTGGTCCATGACAATTAGCGGTTGTTTGGTTTATGGGTTAGCATTAAAATGTCCTCGAATGTTATCTTTTCCTACTTTCTATACTATTATTACTACCTTGTTACAAAGTTGAAATCAGCATGAATGACACTCTTCTTCCAAGAAGTCTAGTAAGTTGCTTCTTGTATTTCATATCATTGCCTACTAGTTTGTATGTTTTTTCATATGACGCTTTGCATTCATTAATGATAAGAGTACGTAGATCACCTCAGTGCGTTCTAAGAAAATTGATCTAATGGTCATTTGATCCATCTGTCTTCAGTTTTTAACAGTCATAAAAGTTCCAGTCATAATTGGTCCCAATGCTTCCCCGGTTTTAATAATAATAAATGCATTTCAGCCTGTTTGAAATCGTATTTGAAGTGTCCCAAATATTTGAGGGCCTGTTTTAAAGCTTTTTTTTTAGGCCACAATATTAACTCTTCCAAATGTGGTTTTCCGAACAGATATGGATGCCAAAGTCAAAGCAATGATCAAGCTCATTGAAGAAGATGCAGATTCCTTTGCAAGAAGGGCAGAAAGTACTACAAAAAAAGGCCTGAGCTCATGAAACTGGTTAAGGAGTTCTACCGAGCGTACCGTGCCTTGGCGGAAAGGTATGATCACACAACGGGGGGGCTCCGCCAGGCTGATTGAACCATGGCAAAAGCATTTCCTAACCAAGTCCCGTTTGTACTGTCTGATGATTCACCTTCGGGATCTTCAGCACATGAACGTGAATGTCACACGCCTGAAATGCCACATCAGTATGAGCATTTCTTGGAGAAAATATCTAAGTTGGAGAGTGAACTCTCTTGTGCTCAAGAGGAAATCAGATGCCTTAACAGTGTGGTTCTGATTGAGATTGCAAAGCTCAAGAGTGCTGAAGAAAAGTGTGTTCTGTTGGAGACATCAAATCAATCCCTGCGGTTAGAGGCAGAAAATCTAGTGAAGAAGATAGCAATGAAAGATCAACAGCTTTCTGAGAAGCACGAGGAGTTGGAAAAGCTTCAGGCTTGTGTACAAGATGAGCAATTGCGTTTCGTGCAAGTTGAAGCCACTCCCCAAACTTTGCAGAATTTGCACTCTCAATCTCAACAGGAGCAGAATGCTTTAGCATTGGAGCTTAAAAATGGGCTTCAAATGTTGAAAGACTTGGAAATATGCAAACATGATTGGGAGGAAGAAATTCGGCAAGTTAAGGAGGAGAATAGGAACATGAATGAGCTGAATTCATCATTCGCCATTTCAGTGGAGAATCAGCAAAGTGAAATCCTTAAATTGAGGGAGATGAAGGAAAGACTCAAGGAGGAGGTTGGACTGCAAATGGGTCAAACTAATTCCCTCCTGGAAGAGATTTCTCATCTGAAAGAGGAAATCAAGGACTTGAATAAGAGATATCAGGCTTTAATGGAGCAAGTGGAGTCAGTTGGTTTGAACCCAGAATGTATTGCGTCATCCGTGAGATATTTGCAGGATGAGAACCCAAAGCTGAGACAGATTTGCAAGGAGGACAGAGATGATAAAGAAGCTCTTTTCAAGAAATTGGAGAACATGGAACAACTTTTAGAAAAGAATGTTGTTTTGGAGAGTTCGCTGTCAGATTTGAGCAGTGAGTTGAAAGGGTCACAAGCAAATGTCAAGGCATTGCAAGAGTCTTGCCAATCTCTCCATGGTGAAAAATCTGCTCTTGTTTCTGATAAAGCAGCCCTTCTGTCTCAGTTACAAATTATTACTGAGAATATGCAGAAGATCCTGGGGAAAAACACCGTTCTTGAGAATTCCCTCTTTGGTGCAAATGTTGGACTTGAAGGTCTGAGGGAAAAATCAAAGAGCTTAGAAGAACTCTGCAAGTCGCTGAATAATGACCAGTCTAATCTTATTGCTGAAAGAGGTACTTTGGTTGTTCAATTGGACAACGTTGAGTGGAGACTAGAAAACCTGGAAATGAGATTTGCAGTATTGGAACAAAAATACGCTAGCATGGAGAAGGAGAAAGAATCCACGCTATCTCAAGTGGAAGAACTAAAGGTGTCTCTAGGTGTAGAAAAACAAGAGCGGGCAAGTTTTGCATTGTCAAGTGGGGCACGATTGGCTTGTTTGGAAAACCATATCCAACTCTTTCAAGAAGAAACTAGGTGGAGGAAGAAAGAATTCGAAGAAGAACTTGACAAAGCTATGAATGTCCAGTTTGAGATCTTTGTCTTACAGAAGTTTATACAAGACATGGAACAAAAGAATTACACTCTATTGGTGGAGTGTCAGAAACATGTTGAGGCATCCAAATTGACGGAGAAACTGGTTTCGGAGTTGGAGAGTGAAAATCTTGAGCAGCAGGTGGAAGCAGGACTCTTGTTAGATCAAATTGAAAAGCTAAGGATGGGTATATATCAAGTGTTCAAGGCTCTTGAAATTGGTCAAGATAATGAACTGGATGATGAAATTGGAGGCCTTAAGGCTCGGTTATTTGCATATGCTCCTGCCATAGATTCTCTGAGTGATAACATAGCATCACTTGAGCACAATATCCTCTCTTTGCCAGAGCTTAACGTTGCTGACAATCAAGAACAAAAGGTATGTTCTTTAGTATAACTTTGACCACAAAAAGTATTTTTTTTTAATCCTGAATCAACTTGGCAAGATTCTCTAAATGTCATCCACACATTTGATGTTTTTTGAATGCAACTAACATAACATATACAAATTTTACTTTTAGGAATTGGACTTACTTTACCATGTCGATAATAAAGTTAAGTTGCATTAGATGGCAATTGGAACCCATGTGAAATTAGATCTTTTATTTTGTTTTTTTTTTTATCATTATAGACTAGCGTATGTGTTCATAGCATTTGCAATATTTACTTTGAATAGTTGGTATCCTTCAAAGGGTTTCACTCAACGATCACAACTTTTTTTTAATTTTTTGATTTTTTTTTTCGTTTGGTATCACAAAGTAATGGTGTAAACAAAATTTTGTTCAAAACTCTCATTGCTCATGATTTCAAAAGTGACTTTTTATGGTCCTTCATTTCAAATCCAAACACGCATCATTGTGCCTCATGATTTTGAAAATACCACTGCCATATGATTCTGTTTTATTTTTTTTTGTATAAAAATTCTGTGTGTACCATTTTCCCTTTTCTAATACATTTTCGTGATTGATACCATTTAATTGTTGACTTTTGTACTGTTAAATACATGGGAGACTAAGATCACATCACTGCATTTTACTTTGCCTCTTAAGACCCTTCCAACATTTAATATTTATTGAAGAGAGATTTGAGAATTCTTGTTGTTCTTGAACTTTCTTTTTAACTCGAAATTTATTAGAACTCGAGCAAGCTGTGCACGTCTCGCAAATTTTTACACCAAGTTGTGTCCATCTGTGCTAGTTGAATGCTCTATTTAATACAGAAAATCTTTAGCTAAACCTTGATCCTTCTCTTTCTTGCACATATTCCAGGATGTGGAATTTGGTTCATTATCATGAGAAAAGCTGTCAAGAACCGATGGAAGATCATAACTCTGCGATACCGAACAGAATTCCAGAATTGCAGAATTTACAGACTAGGATGAAAGCAGTTGAACAGGTTGTACCAGAAGAGAAGAAAAAGCTGGTGATGCAGAAAAGCTTAAACACCAACATCAAGCTAGACGCTGCTTTGAAAGAGTTTGAAGAGTTGAAATCCAACTACAGTGTCAGTCTAAAAAAAGACAAACAAATGGCAGAGATGGAGCTTCGAGATGAGCTCGTTGACAGACTCAAGTTGCAGAAAACAAAACCAGAAATTTCTGAAGTGAGGAATGGGATTCTGATGAAAGATATTCCGTTTGATCACGTTTCAGACAGTTCGTTGAATGGAATAAGCAGGAGCAGGAATCGTGGGGCTGATGATCAGATGCTTGAGTTATGGGAAGCTGCTGAGGACGGCTGTGGTCTTGATCGAACACTCAAAGAGTCACAAAAGCAAGCAAAAAAACCAACAGAGGATGATACTCTGTGCCAGGAGTTTGAGCATGTGGAGCACAAGAATGAAAATCACTCTTCAGAGTTACAAGTTGAGAAGGAGTTGGGTGTTGATAGATTAGAGGCACCCACGTGTGTTCCTGAGCCACATCAGGATCAGAACAAGAAAAAGATCTTGGAGAGACTCGATTCAGATACTCAGATGCTGAAGAACCCTATGATAACAGTAGAAGACCTAAGAAGGAAATTGGAGATGAACAAGAAGAGAAAAAAGGCGAAGCGCATTGATTTTGAGACAGTGAAGGAACAGTTACAAGAAGTTGAGGAAACTATCGTGCAGCTCGTGGAGGTCAACGGTCAACTGTCACAAAATATCGAAGAGAGCCCATTGCATTTGGATGGAAATGCTTCACCAGAGTTGGAAGAGGCCGGGGATGTCCAAAGAAAGAGAGTCTTGGAACAGGCACGAAAAGGGTCTGAAAAGATCGGACGGTTGCAATTGGAGGTTCAAAAAATCCATTACGTCTTGCTGAAACTATTGGATGAAAAGAAAAACAACGAGAAAAGCCGATTTTCCAGGAGCAAAACAACCTGAGAGACTTCATTCACAGTGGGAGAAGTAGCCCACGACGGAAAAAGGCTGGTCTTTTCGGGTGTTTCAGACTTCCAACCAATGGAGACGGTAACAACATTAGCTCGTTTAATTAAGTTAGCTCTGAATAATCAGTAATCAGTCCTCGAAACGTTCCTTTTACTATTTTAGAAGTGATCATTTCTTGAATTTCTTTGTAGATCTTGTTCCATCTTTAGTTCAGAGGATCTGTATGAATTAGATCTAATCTAATTTAAATAATCTGCTCCTTATGAGCCTCTTTTTTCAACATTTGTGGTGCACTACTTTAAATTATTATAAGAGTTTGATGCCGTACAAATAAATTTATCTTTGTCCACCGTGTCCAAAGATAGATATACTGCAATCACTGTCACCAATTAGGGTTTTGTGTGCTCTGAAAACTCGATAGGCAGCTAGTTTCCGAGGGGATGAAGCTCCATAGGAGGCGGTGTCTTTTTCCTTTTTTTTTTTTTTTGTTCTTTTCTCCCTACTAGATTGTGGCAGATGGTATGCAGGCTGGCAATGTCTAAACATGTATATCTAAACATGTATATCCACCGTCAAGTTTTTATCTTTGCATAACTATAGATATTATTTTATGTGAAATCATGGTTATAATCTCTGGTTCCTGTTGCTGAGGCTCTTATGAATCCATCTCTCTCATGCCAGTGCTGAAGCTAAAGCTTGTTTGGTAGCAATCTTAGATTGCATCTTTAGAACATCTTCAATGTCATTTTATTCATTCTTTCAGTGTCTAATTTCATTTTATTTTATTTTTTTTGCATAACTGCCATTGTCTTGCTCTGTATGTTTCCATGCAAAATCATTTTGATAGAAAAAAGTTTCACAATTTTTTTCCAAAGACCTTTTCTTGCTTCTGATTGCATCTTTAATACTGATAGTTGTATTCGTATTAGTGGTAGGGAGGCAAGCAGTGGTCGAACGTGGCAGTTATGGGATGGTAGTAGTGGAATAGAAGTAGAGGTAGTGATAGCGATGGTTATGAAGGTGGTTGGGAGGTAGTGATGGTGGATGGATAGAAGTGTGATGATATCGATAAGATTTTAGGTTGGAAAACTTTGTAAAAGAAAAACATTTTTTGTCAAATAAGTATTTTTTTGGTTGATCATAAAAAATATTTTTTATTAATTTTTGTTTTAATTATACCAAAAGTAAAAAATGCAACACGTAGAAAAATGGAAAAAAAGAAAAAAAAAAAGAAAAACATTATTCTTGGTGAAACAAAAATCAATAAATCATTTCACCATAATGAGCAGAAACAACTATGCTGATGTGGCATGTTTGGTTTTGTCAAACTTTGTACTAAATGTGGCACAATATGCAACACAACTATAATTTAGCCATGAATTTACCATTGAAGTTGATTTTGGGAAATCAAGCTAAAAAAAAGAACTTTGACAATATAATTTTGACTTGAGTGAGCTAAAAGCTACCTTTGCCAGAACAAGTAAAAAATACGTACTTCTCCAATGTCTAAATAGTTAAGCTTATTTGTCTAATATGGCTTGTTTTGGAAAGATGAAAAAAAATTATTTTTTAATTTATTTTTTTACCTTTTAATTTATTCACAAAATTATTTGTGAAGTGTTAAATGAGCAATTTTTTAAAAAATATTATTTTATAAAGTCACATCACTTATAAATTATAAATTTATCATATTACCTCAAGCATTATTAATGCATTTTTCTCGACAGCCAAGGATATTTTGATAATTTAACTTGTTGGCTTATTTCTCATTTCTCAAATGAATTTTTGATGAAATAAACTGTTTTTTAACTTTTTAAAAATAACCCTATTTTTTTTTTCTTTTTCTCAAATTAAGGCCTTACTTGGGAACAAAGAAAAAAGCAAAACTTTTGACTTATTTCCAAAAAGTCAAAAAAATAATTTATTTCATCAAAAATTCATTTGAAAAGTGAGAAATAAGTCAACAAGTGAAATTATCAAAATATTCTCGGCTATATGGCTTCTGACAAAAATACAAAAATACATTAATAATGCATGAGGATAATATGACAAATTTATAATTTTACATATGATGTAACACCATATAATAATAAATTTCAAAAAAGGAAAAAAATATTTAAGCTCACTTTGGGGAGTGATAAGCCAACTTATTAACTTATTGACTTATTTAGATCACATAACATTTCTACTTTTTACAAATTTTTTTTGTAATAAGCAAAAAGCTAATGCTTCCCAAATAATCTTGTGAATAAACCAAAAAGCAAGAAAATAAACCAAAAAAACTGTTTATTTCCACCTTCCCAAAACAAGCCTAGAAGCTATAAAAATAAATTGAACCAAACAATATAGTACATAATTTCATAATAAAAAGTTATAAATAACTTTGATAAGTTGCACTAACAAGCATGTGTACAGGACTTGCATTTGATTTCTTAAACTATATTCCATTCCTTATATCAAAGTACAAGAAAAAATTGAAACCAAAATATTTAACCCCAAGGGTGGTTCGCAACTTGGCAAAGGCCAAGGGGATTAAGCCCCTAGGTCCCAGGTTCAAAACCCCCTTGGGCCAATCTCCTGGGCGGTAGCACAATTGGTTAGAAGGTTAGCCTCAAGCAGTTTCATTGCACTTAGTGTGGGTTCAATACTATTTCGCTGTGTGAGTCCTGACTTAAGGTCGAAGCTAGTTCCCAAGCTTCATCACACTTGGTATGGGTTCAATACTCTCCTGCTGTGCGAGTCCTGACTTAAGCGGAGCTTGTCTTGGGAGGTCGGGGCAAGTTTCCAGGTTATAATCTCTTAACTCAGAATGGACAACAAAACACCTTGGTGATCTCTGCAAAGGGCGTTGCCTTGGACTTGCGGGTGAGTAGAAGGATTTTCCTGTAACAAAAGAAATAAATAAATGGAATAATCTATATCATGAAATGAATAAATTTTGAGATGTTGATATGAAGGTTTTATTTCTTGTCATTATAGTGGTTGTCTAAATCTAGCTAGGACAATATTCAAATTGGAAAATGACATTAACTGATAATCTCTTAACTCAGAATGGACAACAAAACACCCTGGTGATCTCTGCAAGGGGCGCTGCCTTGGACTTCTCAGAATGGACAACAAAACACCTTGGTGATCTCTGACTTAAGCGGAGCTTGTCTTGGGAGGTCGGGGCAAGTTTCCAGGTTATAATCTCTTAACTCAGAATGGACAACAAAACACCCTGGTGATCTCTGCAAGGGGCGCTGCCTTGGACTTCTCAGAATGGACAACAAAACACCTTGGTGATCTCTGCAAGGGGCGTTGCCTTGGACTTGCGGGTGAGTAGAAGGATTTTCCTGTAACAAAAGAAATAAATAAATAAATAAATAAATGGAATAATCTATATCATGAAATGAATAAATTTTGAGATGTTGATATGAAGGTTTTATTTCTTGTCATTATAGTGGTTGTCTAAATCTAGCTAGGACAATATTCAAATTGGAAAATGACATTAACTGATTTGGGTTTTTGATTCCAAGATCTTCTTTTGTTAAGCCAACTGATCTCAATGTATTTTCCACAAGGTGGTTGATTGTAGATCATGTGGCCACCAGTCCACATACCTCAAGAAAAATATTCTTTTATTCATTCAGACTCTATAATATTATAGAGTACAATTCAATCAGTGTTTAAAACAATTGTAGAATAATGCACTGATAAATATTAGAGAATAATATAGAAGATGATTACAATATGTTTGTTCAAGTGCTATCCACAAGAATATTTATTAAAAAAAAAAATGTATACATCACTATCACAATTATCAGCATATATCATTTTTACAGTCACAATTAAATTTTTTTCCAAAATAAATAAATTTTTGCAAGCTTTAAATAGAATCTTTTTCTTTGTTTGAACAAATTTAAGTATATGTAAAGGCTAGTTTTCATATTTTAGGTGCTGGAAGCAAAACTTGTTTCCTTTGACTTATCATCATCAACACACTCAAATTCTTGAAACATGAAGGAATTATATTTTGTTTTCAATTCTTTTGGATAGTAACATTTTCTGGAAAGCACAACATAGACAAATGATAGGGGGAGACATGAGTATGATGCAATGAGATATTGATCAATTTAGGAAGATTTTTTAAATGGTTTTGAAGCCAATCAAATTCATCTCACATGAATGAACAGTTCTTGTGAAAGCCCTGCACAATGGCCCTGCACAATACAGACCAAATGCCTATCACTTTCTTAAAAAGTTTTATCAAATTAATGTTGTAGAAATTGTGTAATTAAATAAACAAATAGATTCATATTTAGGAATCACAATTGCAGAAGCAAAGTACATATGCTGGAAATTACGAACATAACAGAAATACATAACAAAATAAAATGGGAAAAGAAAGCAAACCGAAGCTTGCACTAGACAGTGTCCTTAAAATAAATTCGCTGCCTCACCGATTGGGTGTTGGAGGTTGTTCGACGTCTGTCTCCCAAGATACGACGGTTGGACCAGCTACAACAATGCACTGATTGTGTAGTTTCGACGAACAGAACTTTGCAGCACTCTCTCACAGGAAGAAAATAATATAAAATTGAAAAACTTATGAAGAAAGGAAGAGCAGCAATTTCTTGTGTTGAAGTATGAAGGAGAGGGTCTCCTTTAATACACATGGAAGGAGAGAGGAAATACTCCTGCCATTAAGGCCCATCACAAATGTAGAAATGAATTATGTATTAAACTTGCAAAACTCCCAATTGATGGCTTTAATCCGTCATCATTATAGAGGAGTTACACCCATTTTATACACATGTAATGTATATAATTCTGCAGCCACCTTTTCCAACACTTCTTTATGAGGCAGATTTAATGAGTCAATTTCTTATTCAAATCTTAATGATTTTTTATCATTCTTTTTGTAGTGTAAAGATTTCATTACAGAGAATCTAAACCTACTCTAATCCACCTCAATTGAGGATCGACACCCACTTTAATATTGCATTAAAGTTACCAAAAAATCATTATTTTTCCAACAATTAATGCATTAGCTATCCTGATCAAACATCTTTATTGGTACATTAAATTGTTGAATTCTAGAGGCATCACATTTTTTTCCCTTCATTCAGGTCATGGAATAGTTATTTGATAATCTTGAAATATTATTTTATGCCATTCACATACTCATAATCTTCTCTCAATTATAAATTAAAAAAAAAAAATTTAGATAACATGTTACAAATATAAAAA